TCTTCCCCCCCCCCCCCCCCCCATTTCTATGGAAGTCAGTGGCTACCTGCAGCTCAAACTGTCACTACATGGAATCACTGTTTCACGCATTGGAACGTGCGAGTAAGCGATGACAGAAGAGTCTTTTTTTTTTGGCCAAATTATTCTTTAAATATAAAGACGGCAGTCCATTAAAGTCGAGCATGAAGGTTCCATTTGTAATGCATTTATCTTACATGCGTGAATTAATGCCCAGCCAACCTGCAATGGAGTCTGCTACATGCACTACACGCCGCTGTCTTGAGTGTGAACGGCAATGATTTTGAAACGATCCATGTGCATGTGAGTGTGTGTAAACGCATGCACAAATAAGACATAGTGCCGCCTTTGTCAAACTGCGATGAGTTTAACACATGTACTGTATATGGAGTCGGAAGGAACAGTATGTTTTCATTGTACGCCCTGCGTTTATGCCTATACCCAGAAAAATTATTTTGAACTCTGAGCACACAGATCCTCAAGCCCCTCAGTGCCATGGAAACAGCATATCTCCGATAGCAACAGTGACCGTGGTGACATTTGTGATGTAACCTGATGTTCTGTCATTCCTGTAGTGGGGTGTTTTAATTCTTTTTTTTTTCTCTCTCTCTCTCTGTGTTTCTCGAGGTCCCTAATTGCAGCTCATTTGGAAGCACGAACGCGTTGTTGTCTTTAAAGATGCATATTAAAATCAGATATCAATCCAGGCTCTATCTTCTCAATGCCTCAAATTATCTTTTGTCTGACAGAGGTGTGAACCTGCAGATCTGTAAATTTAGCAGTCTCGCACATATTTTGCGAGACTTTTTTGTCAAGTCGTAGGCAGCATTTGCACAGACTGCTTGTTATGTCACCATTAGTGCTGAAAGGCACTATTAATAATATTTCGTTAGAGTATGTGCATAGATTTGTGCAATAAGGTTCATCTGACATAAGATTGTTGTTGATGTGTCATTGTACTCACTCTCTGACTATCATCCTGTCTTTCTTTGCTTCACTCACTTACTCATGCACCCTGCTTTGCAATCAATAACTCATCTTTCAGCGTCGATTTTCCTCTTCCCCACAGGAAAACAAACGTCCTTCTACAGGACAAACAAAGGGGAGAGAGGGGGAAAGAGATGATGACACGGCAAAAAAAGAGGACAGGATGTGTGGCAGATATACTGAAACTGAAACATACTGTCATTTAAAGGGAAGGAAAAAGTGGGCCGGGGGTGCTGGCTGGGGGAAGATTGAAAGGGTAGATAGTTATGCGATGGATGATTAGCCCTTGTATCCAAAGTTACCCTTTACAACTGTATCAGCGCAGAGCGGATTGGAAGAGACGAGGAGGGGTTGTTTGGGGGGATGGCTTATAGAAGGGATGGAGCTTAAGTCAGCAAAGAGATCAAAGGCCTGTATTGACCTACGGTACAGATGCATTAAATTTCATATAACTTGGACTGCGAAAGATAGACGGTTTTTAAGGCTCACAATGTGAAAATGATACTCGGCTCAGGATTAAAAGGCAGCTGTAATACTGAGTTTATAACTAGGAATCTTCTTAAAGGGGACATTGGATGCAAAATTTGCATATAAATGTGTTTTAGCAGTGGGTGGACACAACCACCCTGCAATGATAAAAATCCATTGACTACTTTTTTTAATCCCCAAAAAAACCCAACCGGTCTCAATCAAGTTGTTTTGATTTTCTGAGCAATATGATGTCATATTGCTCAGGCCCCACCCACAACCACTGACATACTGTATTAGCACATCTCCACTAGTCTTGCGTAGCCAGACCTTCAGACTGACGGCTGAAGGTCTGGAATTCATGGCAGCTTTTATTGGCCAAGGCCCGCCCATGAGGCCATTTGACCGACATGTCAAACAACCAATCACAGTTTGTTTAGTTTCAGCGTCACGCTTCGGGGCGTGGAAATGTCACTGCAATAACAGTGTGTAAAACTCTCGGACGTATTTTAAAGATTCTATGCTGCGAATTTGAAATATTTCACATACTTTTGAGAATCCAGCATTTAGTTGATCCTGATAAGCACTCATCGTCACAGTTGTAAACACACCGGCTTTCTTCTTTCGTGAGGGGGTTTGGCGCCACGGCATCTTTGTTTCCAGGTGGAACGTTAAAGAACGCGACACACGTCTCCCTGAAATCCTGTATAATTCAACCAATCCGATGACTTCGAAACTCCTGAAGGGGTTTCCACTTTTGTGTGCCGTATGCATCAGACGTTCAGCCAATGTTCCGTGGGCGTGACGTCCGAGGCTGAGACTACATCTCCGCCCTCAGCCAGTTGTATGCTGTCTGCCATTTTCTCTGCGCTCGAGCAACAACAATGACTCGTAAGCACTGCAGGTGTTTTGTAGTTGGATGTAAAAGTGAACATGAGAGTCTTAATTTTCTCCCAACATCAGAGGACACAGTGGATTAGTTTAGTTTTTGATGGTAATGCTCCACTGAATACACTTAAGTTTATGTCTGCGCAGATAATTTTACTCCAGACTGCTTTCTGAACTAGGGACAATTCAAGGCAGGTTTTGCTAAAAAGTTAAAACTCAAGGATGGATCAGTAGTACCCACAGTTTGTGATCCAGCTGCACCTCCAGAAGAAGTAAGTCTCACACTTGATATTTTTTATGATTATTTGCAAATCTTCCACGGAAGAGAGGGGTGGAGTGAGCAGTAGCTCATTATCATTTAAAGAGACATGCACCGTAATGGTTCACTGTGAACAGAGCTGTTTTTGACAAGGTAAAAAGGGTGTTCTTTTACATGACCATTGAGGAATTTTAACTAAAGTATGTTAAAGACGTTTCATGAAGACCCTAAAGAATCTTACCAACTTGTGGAAAATGGGCATCCAATGTCCGCTTTAAAGAGATTGTTCACCCAAAAAACATTTACTCTATCTCATGTAGTTCCAAACCTGTATGACTTTCTGGCTTGTGAATAAAAAGGAGGAGAGTTTTAGCATCTGCTCCTTATGTTACAATAAAAGTGAATGGTGACTAGGGGCTGTCAAGCTCCAAAAATGACAAAAAGGCACCATAAAAGTACTATAATGGGCTGTTGACATACAATGTTTTTCTATTCCACTGCATCACTCTTCCATTGTTTTGTATATGTGCTAGATAAATGTTTTTGACCGTACTGAATATATATATTTTTTTACAGTATCTTGCACATGAAGCAGCATTCTGTGGCGCTCAGGTCAACTTTTAAAAAAATGTGTCTTGATGCCTTGCGTATTTTTTCTGTGAACTCTGGCCCATATGACCTGTGCCCTGTAATCTTATGAAGTCATACAATCACACAAAGCTATAGTAAGACTTTCAATGTAGCACATGAACCATGTCGTTACAGTATGTAGAAATAGAGCAGGGCAAATTGTTCTGTGTCTTTTGTGGTCTGAGGTACAAATAAAATTA